TTTTAGTTGTTGCGTGAAATAGTAAAAAAGAGAACAATTAAGTATATAATGCTTAATAATCCATAGATGGTTTAAAAAATATTGCGAGTCGCATATAAAACACCTTGGAAAACAACAAAGATGTAATTGAAACCAATGATAACTACAGTATCTTCGAGTACTAAAATAGTGTTTATAGTTAAAATTTAGTTATTCTCAAACTACAAAAATAATACACTGCTATAAATTCCATCCATATATAGGAGTATGTTGACGTAGTAATGGTTTATTTAGTAGTTGGAACATTAAATACATCATGAGCATATTAATGATATATGTAGTCCGTGTTTTAACATTGAAAAGACCAACACATATTAATTATGTACGTTGTCTACTTTTAAAAGTAGACAACGTACATAATTAATATGTTTATGGTAAGATACAATAAAACATAACAGTAATACAGTAAAGACAAAGGGATGGAAATATTTTTGCATGATTGTCTAAATTCCAAGGAATATCTTATATCCAGTTCTCATTAATGTGAGTTAATGTATAAAAGATGTCTTTAAAACGTTAATGGACTGTTCACCTATTGTTAAAGGATTGTACATTAGAGACGATACTAATTTAAATTTTATAAAAAGATGACAATAACATCGGGCCCTGCATGCCCAGGTGGTTAAGGCACTCGACTCGCAATCTGAGGGTCGCGGGTTCGAATCCCCATCACACCAAGCATGCTCGCCCTTTCAGCCGTGGGAGCGTTATAATGTGACGGTCAATCCCACTATTCGTTGGTAAAAGAGTAGCCCAAAAGTTGGATGTGGTTGGTGATGACTAGCTGCCTAGTCTGACACTGCCTTCTCTCTAGTCTTACACTGCTAAATTAGGGACGGCTAGCGCAGATAGCCCTCGTGTAGCTTTGCGCGAAATTCAAAAAACAAACAATAACATCGAAACGACCCAAAGATTAAGATTTCTTCTGAAATCTTCAAAACGTAGTTGTTAGCCTGGGGTCGTGAAACGAAGAAATAAAAAGTAAAAACACACACACACACACAATAACCTCATAAAGGTTTTGGAGGCTGTGGGTTATTTGATCTTAACCTGCATGTTGACCATCTCAATAGATTGTGTCAAAATGTTCTTGAAGTAAGAGACTAACCAAGCGAACGCCAGTAGAGACTAGGGTACAATAAATTCCGAACTTTGCATTGAATTCTTATAATCATTTTGGCTTTAATTACTAATTAGAGATAGAATTAAAATTTATTGTGTACCAAAAGATTTTTAAAGTCTAATGCACACTTAAACTAGGTAGAAAAAAAACATGGTTTCAGCGTTTATAAAAACATAGGATTTTTCTTACATATAACAATTGCCAGTGTGACCCTGTTGGTGCGAAATCCGTAAGTGAAACATGGACATTGCGAACGTAATGCTTACCCAGGAATTCGGTAAATAACCTTTGTGGTCACTACTTCAATTTCTTAAACAGTAGAAAGAATTTGTTGAATTATTTAAAAGTGAAATTCAGCTTAAAAATTAATTTATATAAAACGTATTGTAGTAGTCCCGTATAAAACTGTGTCAGTAATTATACAAGAATAGCTGAAAATTACACGGTAATATTTTATAAATCCGAGGAAATTTCAGGAAATTTGCAATTATTATTACCGAACATCCTTCTCGGAGTATGGTCCTCTCTGCACACAAATAATTCTTGAGGCCATTTGGTTGAATTGTTGCCCAAGTTTCCTTTGCTTTCCAACAGATACTTAATTTTGTTCCTATCTTATAGTGTCTCATTAGACTCAAATATCGTGTTATTTTTAAACTTATCAGTGTAACTGTGTGCTCTAATATTTTTTATATCTAAACAGGAAGCTATCGAAGTGAAGTCGTACTACTTTGTCATATTCACATCTTTTTCCGATATAAAGATCCATATTCAATATGCATAAACGTATAAAAGGGTTAATTAGTTTATAAATAATAATAACTTCAGATCAGAATAAATTATTTAACTTGCAGCTGAATTAAAAATCAAACTGGTCGCCAGTGTAGCTAATTAAATAAACTTTCCTTTCGTATAGACTTATAAAGATTATAGTGGAGTGTTTCATGAGTTGAGTACTCCCGTTGTTAACGATAATATATCACGAGCTTATGAGATTTAGGCCTGTCTAATGAAACAAAACAATCTTTATAATGAAAGTATAATGCTAAAATTAAAAATAAAAGGTAATAAAACTAGATATACTAAACATTGTAACCAATACTATTCATGAAAGTAACTACAAAGAAATAATATAGTCTCGCTTACCTACCGAACATAAAAATATTAGCATTTAGCCTTCCATAGTACTAAATATCTCCTCATCAAACATCCACAATTGTAAAGATAACCTGATACCAAGTTCCAGCCACCTGGCCACGCCACTCCCTTATATGCGATATATGATATACAGCAATTAGTTTGAATGGTCACTGGAACAGCAACATTCATTTTTTATGCTCTGCAGCTAACGCATTGCGAGACAGAAAATAATTATATGTTTCAGATGATATACAAATACGATTTAGACACATATACACAAAAGAAAAACAACAACAAAAAACATGACCACAGTTGATTTGTACACTTGTTGATACCAAAATTTAAAAAAAAAATCACTATTTTATAACAATTATATGTTTCCAACTAGATCAGTACAGGCGCCTAAAAATCGACAATTAGGCCTTAAGTTTAGATACATTCCTACAGAAAGAACGAGTTTACCAGCTCGAAGAATAAAATATTACATTATTTCCGTTATTGGTAGTAGATCCGACACTTTTTGAATACGTTAGAGGAGAATAAAGAAATAGTTGATACCATTATGGAAGAAAAAATAAATGTAATAGTGACAAACGAAGACGGTTGATTTTCACACTTCTTGATACCATAATTTCCAAAATTCTTTATTTTACAACGCTGCTTTATCCAAAGATTGATAAAGAAAAAAAAATCTCAAGATCTTAATCAAAGATGGCGATTATCCACAAAGACAAAGTGTTTGTACAAAAAATATTGTGTACGGATATATATTTCCATTATAGTCATTCCATATTTTTTCATTTCCTAACTTCATATCTAAATACAACTCTATATTCTTCTTCACAAAATTTTGTTTAATTCATGTCCAACTACATAAAACAACAACAGCATTACTGAAAGGATTTATCTATTTAAAACATATACTATTCTCATATATATATATATATATCCTCATATATCATATATATATATATATTCCACTTAATATTGCTGCATATTTGAAAAATATCTTTGTACTTTGGTTCATATGGCATATGTTACTTCTCTGTTCGTTTGTTAATTTTCCGTAAAAATTCTTTCCGAAGAAACTTTAGCGATACAAGTCCTTTCTTAAATAAACTAGTTTATTCTTTCTCAATACAACTTTGCAATACACTTAATTTCCACAGTCAGTTTAACTTAAACAAACGCTATAATTCACAACGAACGATTCACGCACTACCGCGATTGACTCAATTGTCCGTCTCTATCCCTGTCTGCAATTCAATTTCATTGTTGCCGTCACTTCTTGGCGATCTTATATATTATAAAAGCGTACATCTCATCTCTTCGTGAATCTTCTAGAAACTCATCACGTGTTACCATCGTCACGTGACTTCCGCTGTCGTAACACATAGAACACGCTTGGTATGAGGGAGGTCGGGGATTCAACCACGTATATTTTTTTTTCCTTATTCTGTATTTTTCTTAGTAGTCAAACAACTTTAGTATGCGAAGCATGAGTTTATTCCCTAGTGGAATATGTCAACGACTCTGTGCGTCATCTACTCCCTTAATTATGACTTTAAGACTTAAGCGTGAGTTATCATTACTTACTCTTATCCAGTTATTCAACTAGAACCCTATAAGACGTAGATCATCATCGCTGCTTAATGGGTATAGTTTCTTTTGTGTTCTTCTGTACTTGTGTTTTCATTTGTAATTTGTAGCTATCTTCCAGCTTCGTCTTCATTTTTCACTTAATGGTTTTTATACTGCAACTGTTTATTTAATACCTTTAAATTGGTGATACTGTCTAAATATTAAACAGTTTTATTTGAATTCCTAGATAAAAGTGTATTTTGCAAGAAAACAAAGAGACAAATACGTAATTAATTTTAAATAAAAAACTAATGAACATCTTTCGATTCAGCCTAGGAGTAATAATTCTTCAAAACCGGTCTAACCCAGTGAATTGTGTTTTTTTTAAGTACATTAATTAGCATACATATCACCATATATTCTTATTATTTTTTAACTTGTTTTAATATATTTGTATGAAATGAATAAATCGTTTTTCAATGTCAATGGTTTATAACAAACAGAAACGTTTCTAACGTTGATACTCTACTCGACTCAAACTAGAGCCACATAATAAACACAATCATTACTGGTATCACAAAAAGCTGTTGCTATGAGAGATGTAGTTGTCACGATGTTATAAGAAACGTATTTCACACTAAAAATAAAGTACATGGAAGACAGCCTTTCTTCCTTCTCTCAGACCCTAATAAGGAACAATCAGGAAGACGTTCCTTATTTACTCTACAGACAGGAAGAAAGAGGAATCAGGAAGACGCTCCTTTTTTCCCTCTTTAACCCGAAAAAAGAATAACAAGGAAGACAAAAATTCATCCTTCTGACTCACAGAAGGAAGAACCAAAAAAAATACTGCTTGTTTTCTCTCTGATCCGAAGAAGAAAGAGCCAGGAAGAAACCCCTTCTTTCTCTCAGAATCACAGAAGGGAGAACCAGGAAGATAACCCTTCTTTCTCTCAAACCTCAAGAAGGAAGAACCGTATTATTACATTTAGATGTGAAAATATCTTGTATCTATGGGCTTTCGTAGAGTTTAACCCTCTTTAAAAGGTTTCATCTAACAAGCGCTAGATGGCTCAACGGTCGAGGGCAAATAACTTTATTGACATACCATTCCATCAGACGAAGCATTTCTCCTCAAAGCTGTAGTATCAAAACCTTGAACGTTGACTTTGAAAGAGGAGGAAGGACTGGCGGCTGAGTGCTAACTTTAAACAATGTAAATATTCTCCATGAAGACGCCATCAAAACATCTTTACTTCAAAAGTAGGTTGTTAATCTATATTTTAATTAATCATTGTTTGTTTTAAGCTATTACAACATGACCTGCTTGCGAGGTCTGGTGTTGCAAGCTAATTTTGCATTGCTAGAGACCTGCAAGTGAAGTTTGTGTAGTATTGACCGTTGTAACTTATGCGGCAACAAAGACTAACCTTGAATGGTGAATTAGTGCACAGAGGTTGGTGGACTGCAGTATAAACATGTTACCCCTCTCTACGATCGAGTATAGACACAGTGATTTATAGAATAGCGGGTCATCTTAGAGAATTTGAGTCCTCACTGGGTGAAAACGTTTACTTTTTGTACTTCCGGGTCAATAAATTTGAACTAATAACTAAATTACTGAGACAATGTTTTTAAAACTTGATTTGTTTATCGCCTAAAAAGTTCATAAACAAGAGAATCCACGGGGTAATGCTTACTCGTATACAGAATGAAGCTTTAGCTAAATGGATTATTCTGGCACTCAAACTCGTATGTTGCTTGCATTTTGTAGACCTTTTTTGTTGCTGTTAGGAAAACTTAACTACGTATTTGGAAACCAGAATGGTTGACGTGATAAGTAGTTAACAAAACGACTAAATTTACACAATTAGGGGGAGAGAGTAAACTGAGAAATATTTAGTTAGTGTAATGGTTGAAATTATTGTGGAAACCATATGACATAGTATTGGCAAACAAGATCAATTATTAAAGAATGCCACAAATAACTATAGTAGACAACATGATTCACTTATAATATGGAATAACAGGTACACTTATTGAAATAATGAAATTAGTAATTTTCACTCCACCTCTGGTGTTTGAGTAAATCTGTTAATAAATTTATTTGCAACATATGCTTGAAATGCCCCA